CAGGCGGTGAGCAAATTGCATTGTGTATCACTTACTTTGTATATTCTTTTATTAGTGGTGGTGTTTTTATTTTCCTCTTATTTTGCTGTACTAGTAAACTGTCCTTATCCCAACCCATGAGTTTTACCTTTTTCTTCTGATTCTGCTCCCCATCCCACTAGGCGGGGAGTTGAGCGAGCGGCTGCATGGTGCTTAGCTGCCAGCTGGGTCTAAACCACAATGCTATCTTATGTAATGCCATAATCATAATTTTGATTTCTCCTTTATCTTGTATTTGCTACTTAATCTCCTTAACAAACTGAAAAAGTAAGTTTTATCTTGCTTCATTACTTTATTCTTGCCACATGCAATTCTTCCCTCATTATCTTCAGCTCCACAGTAACAGCTGTAGTGAATTCAACCATGCTGTAGCTTGGCTAGGTGAGCCAACCCAAAGTGGTTTTTTACACACTCCTATGCCATTATAACTGAATGTCTACGTGATGATGGTCCTGGAATACTAAGAAGTCAAAGTAGTTTCTGCAATATGGTTTCATTATCTCTTTTTATAGGATTCATCAGGCAACGACTGATTCTCATTAAATCACTGTATTTCAATCAGTATCTCCATCAAGATTGCTTTGATCAGTGTATGTTTTGATGTTTCCTTGCTACATTTGTATTGACTTCTCAATAGGATTTAAAGTCACTGGGAGTGTGCAGACCATTAAAAATGCCAAATCAAAACAAACAAGTTAATATATTTCATATTTTCCAGCCTTGCAGGGTCAAAAGCTGGTCCTGGTTTGGACTAATCATAGATCATTTTCAGATACATTCTGATGGGGTGTGGTTTATTTTCCTCAGCAGGCTTTTTTGTCTTTATGATGTATACTGTATTGTGAGAGAAGAGAGAGACTTTCTGAATATGAATTGCTAAATAAAAAAGTTGGGGTTTTTAGATATATTGGCCATTCTTGAATATTGAATTATTTTAATGTTTTTCTGTTCTTCATCAATGCGTTTTGAAGCATAAATGTGTGCTTAGCTCTTCTTGGAAAACTAAACTATTACCTAGAAACTCATCTCAATGTGTATCAAATGCAATATTTCATAACATAGCAGCTTGTAAACCTTTTTTCTCAATTTGCTGCTTTGGTAAATTGGAAAGTGCCTGCAGAAACAAATATTTGTATATTGTTTCTGAAAGCCAGAAGCTTTAAATCAGGGTATTTTCAGCTACCTGCTTTTTCCTTTTTATTTCTTTTCCCTCTGCATCCAGTACAAAGCTGTTGTAGTTTTTCTCATTGCTCTTTTCAGGGACAGATTCCAGCTGTGAAATGAAATTCCCCAGGTTTTATCTGCTGAAGGAGGGGAAGCTTGATTTATAGTGCATTATCTACTCTTCAGCGACTCCACATATGGGCACTCTTAAGAGAGTCTGGGTCATAGCTTGTTCTGCTTCAGGAAAG